CTCCATTGTGTCGAAACAAGATCGTATGATCATTTAATTTGATCATTAGACCCGGTTCCGGACGCAGAATATTCTTAAATTTTAATTAAATATTATTAAATTATATAAGTTTTCTGATCAGGACTCCAACAAAATCGGGACTACATCAGATTTATCTCATTTAATTTGCATATCTTTTATCATTATAATTATGCAAAATGGAATAATTTACAGACAATTAATTCACTTTACTATCAATTATATAAAATTTAATATAACGTATTAATAAACTTTTTAAGAACACCCATATTCCAAAACTGAATTCAAACTCGGATTCCATTATCATATAGCCTTTCAGCTATAAGCTGTCAAAGGCGCATTATCCTATGTGCAAAAAAAGAATTGCTCGGGGCAATTGATCCAACAAAAGATGCCCCAAACTAATCTTTATAAACTCTTTAATGTAGTAAAAATATCGAAATTTGAATTTGGTGCCATATCTGGGACCCTAGATTGCCGGTGTGGAGCAGGCACAGGGTGCACTGGCGCAACGCAGAGGTCGCATTAAAAAACGAACAAGGATACTAGGAAATTCTCCTCAAAAATTCCCCTGAAGAAAAATGTTTGAATTCAACACTGTACGTGGAACCCCCAATTCAAATTTGCCTGGGTTTCCTTGAAGTTATAACGCGCCACAGAGCTGTGTAATCCTTAATCATTTTCGGGGGATTTCCGAGTGAAATCCTATCAAGATCCATCAATTATTATGGGTAATACAAGTCGGGCGTCGTTTCCCATCTTTAACTCAAGCTGGTAGACCCCATTAAGGGTCAGGCCAACCCGTAATAGACGTTATTCTACTAGTATCTCGCGTTAACGAATCGATTCAATCAATCAACCCTTACGATTTTAGATATTAAATATCATATATATTCTTTAATATCAAATATTCTACATTAATATACAATATATATATAGACACTGTGATTCATTTCACGATTTCAATGCGGAACATCAGAACCGTGCTTAGTTATAATGGAAAATTACACTCGTAGGATTGGCACCAGAATATAATAGAACTCTACCAAATATTACAGATTAAATTGCTACGCTGTATAATGTTATGGTTCCTTGCGAAACCTTGGCACTAAAGATTTAGAAGTAAATCTATTTCGGTCCAAGAGTGTAATTTCATTTAGCAATAAAAGCATATTACAGTGCCTAAATATATCAATATATATATGGTCTGTCATCTCGAAGACAGTTCATGTAGAAAATATAATAATAAACTTTCTGGTTTGTGTCTTTACGGAATCTAAGTATAATTATTATCACTCAGGAAATTGATTCCTGTTAGCAATTGTTGTTTTTCTGTTGTTCTTATAGTTCGATAAATGTGGTAAAAATCATTTAAAACTCTCAAGATAATGAGAGTTCCACATTCACTGACATTTTTACGGATTATTTATTTATTTTTCTTTAAATCTTAAGCAACTGACTATTGATTTTGTCTTCGGATTGTCTTTATCAGTTGAAGAAGAAGAGCAATGAGATCATTAAGAACCTAATCAGCTTGTTCCTCAATCCAAATCCATTGTTAGATTCTTCACCATTAATTCGAGTTGAACAGAGTCCGAATTGATTCCGAATAAGAACTTCAAAATGTTTAAAATTCACTCATGTCTCAATATTAAACATCCAGATATAAGTAGAAAAAGAAGATGAGAGATTGATACACGATTTGCAAAACTAAGAAACCGATGTTAATTTGAGGAAGAAGCGTAATGGGCTCGTTAAGAACCCATTTAGCTTGTCCCTCAACCAAAAAACACATTGTTATATTCTTCATCATCAATTTGAGATGAACAAACACCGAATTGAACAGATGTCTTGAGCAGTTTATCCAGAAAATTCCAGATGATTTATTAATAGATTATCTAGGATATTCTGGACTCGGATCCTATTCGAATCCAGATTTTTATGGATAAACTATTAATAAATCATCGATATTATCATATTAGATACTTGTTATAATCTATTGCTTTGTTGCATTGATTTTGAATAAGAAGAACTTCACAACGTTTAAAATTCAGTCGTGACTCAACATTAAACATCTAAGATATAAATATAAGTAGAAAAAGAAGATGATAGATTGATATATGATCTGCAAAGCTGTTAGTGGAGAAAAACACATTTTTAAACCTTAAAGTATAAAATATATTTGAACATTTGCTAATGCCATTTTTATGCGGAAGATTTTTTTTAATGGAGAAGACATCTTATGATACGGAATTAGATTAAAAACACACTCGAAGAATCGTTAAATTAATTAAATAAAATTTATTTCAACTAAAATATATGGTGAAATAAACAGGAAATTGCTGCTTATGAATTTTCTTCGAGTAGAGAGCAACTGAAATTCCTATCATCCGCATCATTTCTCTTCCTAATGACAAGTGGAGGAAAAATCTACGCTGCTGTATAATCAAATTTCAAGCAAAGTAAATTCAAGAATTGCCAACTTTTCTACGTCTGAAGGCATCTACTTTCGATTTTCGATAGTCATTTGAAGGTCTCTTCATCGATTTTCGAATATTTTTCGAATAAGATACAAGCGATTTCGTCTCAAACAACGATAGGAAAATTTATTGAAGTGTTTCTTATTATATTTTTATATTTAAAAAGTTTATTTATTACAAATATAAATTTATAGAACGTTAAGAAAAAAGAAATAGAAATTGAATTAATTAAGTTTTCTTTTTAAAAAAGTCATTTTTAGGACATTTTTTTAAAGCCAAAACTTAGCTTCTATCTAGTTGAGTTGAAGGTGTTGATGCTTTCTTTTGTCAGCTATTTCCTCTTATCGTTTCATTCAGCACATTTCTCTTCATCCTCTTTATCTCGAATCGTATGTCTCCCTTCTCACAACTTTATTCCCAGTCTTCCGGGGATTTACCTTCATCTTTATTATCAGTTAAGGTCATTGGATTAATTTATATCCTGTTGAAAATCATTCGTCTCTTGTTAAATTTTCTTGTTTAAAAATTCTAAATTTAATTTATCTTTTCTACTTTAATTCCAGCATCTTTTATCTCTATATTTCATCTAATTTTTTAATCACTTTTTAGGACTATTTCTGAAGAGAAAATGTAATCTGTAATGTTATCTTGAGTAAATTAATGGGTTTTCTGTTACTTTTCTAGGATTTATGCCAGATATTGTTAATGTGTACTGCATTAGTTTCATAGAAATCAATCAAATCCATCCTTTCTTTCTGTCAAACAGATGCTACAATATATCTTAATAATCTTGATAAGTAGCATTATTATATATAGATTTAAAGATTTGAATATATTTTCCCAAAATTATCATTATTTAAATTTTAAAAATCATAATAATTATCTCTTTTCTCCATAAAAATAAAAATGATAATTAGGAGAATATTTGAGAATTAAATAATTTATGATCTTCACAAACATCTGCTATAATTTGAAATTTATGATTTTCAAATTTATTTTAAAAATCATTATCAAAATTTTATTAAAAATTTATTTTTTAAATACAAAATAAAGTTATTTTTTTTCTTAATGTGAGATGCTATCAAGAAGAAGAAGAGGAGGAGGAACAGGAGGAGGAGAAGCTACAACTCATCAATAGAAGAAAAGGTTATCTGAATCTAATCAAGGATCGAGTTAATTCTTTCTTGTGGTAAGTCAAAGATAAAAATTACTTTGATATCTAAGTTAGTCCTATAATTATCCCGTTAATGATTAAGAGATAATTCGTCTCCTCATTAGGAATTTGTGTAAGAAAAAAAGATAAACATCTTTAGAGTATCAAAGCAATTTTATCAAAAATTCATAGGAAAATTCATTATTTATTCAATAGGAATTCATAGGAAATAATTCTTAGAAAGTCATAAGTGTTCGTAGAATCTCGCAGGAAAGTTAATTAAGAAATTTAGGCTATAGGAATTCATAGGAAAGGAATTCGTCGTACTGTCGGTTTATAGAAATTCATTATAAGATTAATTAATTCATAGAAATTTACAGGAATTCATAGGAAAGAAATTGATAGTAAGATTAATTAGTTTATAGGAATTTATAAGAAGATTAATGAATTGAGATTGGAAACATCCTGACTAATTAATTGATTTTTATATTTTGTCTGCTATTTAATTTTATTTTTGCATCAATATCGCGATACGTACTTAACTTTGAAAAGTGGAACTCTTAGAGAATTGAATTGGAAAATCGTATTGTATTACTTCTTCGATATGATATTCCGATTATTGATCCAAGTTATCCGATAGAAATAACTTTATCCGGATGTTCTATGTTTACTTTTACAGAAGGTAAAGGTTACAGACATTTGACCCACTACTTGAAAGAGAGAGAGAGACGTTAAAGTCAGCTTAAGGGAATTTGGATGCCTTAAAAGTAGTTATTTTTTAAGACAACTCACAGAAAAGAAATGATATTTTACTTTTATTTTTAGAAAATTATACTTTATTTTTGTGTTTTAAAAAAATTTTAAAGTTTTTATAAAATTAACATCTGAAAAGTTCTACTTTATTTAAACACAAGTTTCTTGATTAACTTAAATTGAACTGCTCAAGTTCTAAGACAACTGTTGCACTCTAGATGCAATTTTATCGTGTTTTTTTATAATAAATTATACTTTAATTCTGTTTTAAAGTAATTTTAATTAAAAATAAATAAATATTTTAAGATTATTTCATGAGTAATATCTAAAAAATTCAGTTTAAACAAAGGTTTCTACACGTTGAAATACAATTCATGTCTAAAGACAACTCTTAGAAACAAGACAAAATTTTACAATTTTATAGCTTATTTTTATATTTTAAAGTCTATTTAATCGAAGAAATAAGTAATTTTAATTATTATAAAATCAAATTATAAAAAATTTACTAAATAAAATCTTTTTTTATATTTGATATGATACTGCCAAATCTCATCATCATCTTAACAAAATCTGGCAAACTCTCCTGTTATTTTTCGATCGATGAAGCAAAATAACTAACGTTACATTTTATAAAATCTTGAATATTATGAAAACATCTTTAATTAACTCTCGGTTTCGGCAATTTCTAGAAAAATAAATAAAGTCATTTTATATTATTATATTGCTTATTTATAGCCTAGATAAACAGGAAAATATCCTTAAAATTATATAGAATATTTTAAATATTCAATAAAAACAAAGAAAATAACTTATTAAAGTTATAATATATGACGTTGTATTATAAAGTACCCAAAGGATTTTGAACTAGATTCGTTCTTGTGCTTTAATTTCTCTTATTTATCTACTCGAGTCGAGATAAATTCAAAAATTAATTAAATATTACATATTTTTTTAATATAAAAATAAAGAAAACTTGATTATTTATTGATTAAAAAAATGTAGAAATAACATACGCCGAATGCATAAATTATTATTATTACTTTATCAAATGATCCCCTTTCTACCTCAAAAGAGAACACGAAGATGAATGTTTGTGCAGGGAGAAAAATATAATTAAAGTAAGAAAATCTTTATAAATTTATTAAAAAATATGCATTTTTATTTGTTAATTTTGTTTTTGTTTTAATTATTTACGAATTTTTCTTTTTATATTTCCGCTTCTGGTTATTTATAGAAACGATAACAATAACTCTGTCTTTCTATAAATAGATTTCGGCTGATGCTACTGAAAAAAATAAAATAAAAATAGCGTTAGATAGGGATAAATTCCTTTCAAAATATCCCTGTAAATCAATTCTATTTTGATTTTATTTAGGGATTTTTTTTTTGTAAATTTATTCTTCCTTCCGTTACTTTAAACCCCGTACTTTATTACAACCGGGTTTTTTTTCTCTAAATTTTCGTTATTTTCTCGTTATTCGCAGCAATTTCGTTGGGATTTTTATACATAAAAAATATATTGGAATAAAAATATATGTAAAATTGTCTCGTATAGCATCGTTTAAATAAATTTCCTCATCCTTCTCTGCTCTGGAGATTCCAATGTAGATGTTGAATATGTTAAGTCTCAAAATGCCATAATCTATTTATATACATAGATTTTCTTACGAAAGCTTCCTATATATACAGATTTTAAACATATTACTATATAGTATATAGTATAACGATAGTAATGAATTTTATAATAAGAAGTGACAGATTTAGAAAGATAGATGACGTTCTTATAACTAAAAGCTGTTTTGAATGAAGGAATGATAAAATACCGTGATGTTTTCTTTATATTTTTTAAACTAGAACTAAATTTAAATGTGTTTTTGACAAAAAAAGCATTCGATCGAGCAGTTTTTTGGTAAAAAAGTGCAGTTTTTGTGCTTACGAATCATCGCTTCAGCACAAGGATAATGTCAAACAAATGGTATTTCCAGTTTAAAAAACCGAATCTAGAGTTTTAAATTTGTGTTATTTTTGAATTTTTATAAATAAATTCTGTTATTTTTAGTAATATATAATAATTTACCGTTTATTAGTTCTATTAATTGAATTATAACCAGCATTTTATACTCCTTTAAGTTACCTAGATAGGCGCAGACTTTTACGTAAAAAATATCAAATTTTTTTGTTTATTAATCTTTATAAAATTAAATTAAATATAAAATACGCGAAAAAGAAATTAATTTTAAGTAATAAAAATCCATTTATATTCTCTAGAATTGCCGAGAAAGAGAGGCAATTTCGTTCGATTTATCCGAAGAGAATCAAAGAAGAAGATGGAAATGTAATTAAATATAATAAGAAATGAAGATGTTACGTCTTTTGTATTAAATAAAGATAATGATATTTTAGTAGAAAACGAAGAAAATAGCTGATTAAAACGATCTGTATGGCTGATTAAGCAGATGACGGTTGGAAAATATTGGTCGATGCTAAAAATAGAAACGAATTGCAACTGTTGTCTTAGAAGGAAACGATTGAATTCCTCTGGTACTACTGTGCCACTTGTTGAAGTAATCAAATAAAATTGAATTCAAGAAACGACCGAAAGAAAAAGAAAAATAATCTTATTTTTTCTCTTAAAAAACTAGAAATTTCGCGCGCTAATTTATCAAAATTCAATTTAATTTAATACGCTCATTTTTATACTTCAAAAAATTGAATTTTTTTTAAACAAGTGGAAAGACGTCGATGTGAATTTCAAGTAGAAAAAAGAATAAAATAAATTCCCTTAATGGTCTTTCCTTGTAAGAAATACTCTTTTGCATTCGAAATTATAGAGAATTGAATGAGTTAATTCGATCCTTTCTATATTTATCATAGGGACTAACCGTAAGGGAAAGCCACAGGCAACGATTACAGAATTGATCCGAATGCAATCAAGTTGATTTCGTAAATTTCTTCGGAATTTATGCATTAAAAATAAAAAAAAAAAAACTTAACAAAATCACTGAATAATTTTTCTCCCCTTATGATGAATTAGTTGGCGTTTTGTACGTAAGAATACTTTGTATTCCTCTTCCATTTCCCATGACGTAAGCAGTCACTCAATCAGAATTGATCCGTTGGATTGAATTAAATCACGTGCTTACTCGACTTTGTTTGCCATCCAGACCAAGTTTTCTTTACCTGTCACTAAAGCGAAATAAAAAGAAAATAACCCATTCGCCTTTTTTTAATTTATATTGTTGCTGTATTCGATTTCGTTACTTAATATACAGGGTAGCCCGAAAGTCAGCTAACCGTTTTAGAACCTAAATTCTAAATATCTATTCGTATAGCTGAACACACGTAAAACACAACGGTTAACTGACTTTTAGGCCACCCAGACGTGTTACGATACTAAACTCTTACTTCCCTTCTACTCTAGTGATGATACATATCGAGAGAGCCCCAAACTCTAATCTTCTTCTACCGCGTATTAAGAGAGGCCCCCTCGTCGAACGGGGCCCTAAACTTACGCGCGAATCTGGCACTCTATATATATTTAGATATAAACGTTAAAGATGAATCTTTATTGGTATAGATGCTGTCACTTATCATTGAGGAACACAAAGAAGCATAAGAATTGACATTCTGGTGACAGGTTTGTATCAGAAGTGACAAGCAGGACACGGTTTAAATTCGCATCAATGACATTTTCTGTCTGAAATTTAGTTTATCAACTCGAATAAAAACATCTTTAAAGATGTCCCAAGTCGTGTTGACACATTTTACAGTGGAATTTCAAAGGGAGGGGGAAAAGTCTAGAAAAAATGTAAAATTTATAAATAATGCTGTATATTAAACTATTCAAAATCCTTTTCTACACTTTTCCATGCGAAAATAAATTCTGGGACAATTTAATATGTAAATTTTAAGCTGTATATGTGATTAAATACCTTAAAAAATGGAGGGATAAATATATTTATCGGCGCTTGTTTGCGATATGATGAATATAAAAGTGTTAAGGACATTTCGGTGACATAACTCCATCAACGTCGCTACTCATTTGCATATCGATCGAATTTTCTCGGAATCTATTCTATCTTAAGGGATTAATGGTATTTAAGTTCGAGTACGATAGCTTTAGGATAAGGAAATAACATGAAGTAAGGCATCAGTTCGAATTAATTAAGGAAATCACATACGCATTTTTAATTAGTCGAGTTTTAAAAAAATAGAAAATTTATGACTTTTCCTAATAAACAGTAGTATTTATGCTTAAAAAAGCGAAGAAACTAACTTTAAAAATGTATTTTATGATTTTATTGTGATAAAATTCGAGTACAATAACCTATTATTTAAAAAAAAACAACTGGCCAGCTCATTGGTCAGTTTGAATTGATTATGTTAATGAGATGCGCATTTATAATTAGTCGATTTTAACGATTATAAAAAAAAACTGACTATATTTGAATAAAAATTAGTATTTATGCTTCAATAAGTGAAAACAATAACTGAAAAAATCTATTTTATGAATTTATTGTGATAAAATCCGAATACAATGCTCTATTAAAAAAAATTCTTTTTAATCTGATCAGCTCATTGGTCAGTTTGAATTGATTATGATAATGAGATGCGCATTTTTAATTAGCCGATTTAGACAGAATAAAAGTTATTACTGTATTTAAAATACATAAAAATAAACAGATTTTAAATTTAAATTTATGTATGTACTCATTTTTATGCATGACAGATAGAACAGAAAAATGTGCTGTAATAAAATGCCTTAATGCAATGGAGTAAATATCTACTTGAATAATGATAGACTGCTTCAATGAAGCAATGCAGTGCTGTTGCTTCTGAATGCATCCAATAACAATACTGACATGTTGAGAATATCATGTGATATCAACTTGTTCAGTAAATAGTCTCACTAAATAAGTTGATACCACATAGTATTCTTGACATATTCATGTTGCTACTTACAAGATCTAAAACCAGAATAGTTGCCAATAGACAGTGTTGGCAATCTTGTATGAACTATTTATAAACAATTTTAAAAGTAAATTTATTGAATTTTGCTGTATTTGTTTTATTTTTACTTTTAAACATTTTTGACCACTTATTTTGCCACTTTAGGCAGTCACCTCATTGCCTCACCCATCAAACCAACTCTGTGGAAATGGTATACATAGAGAGAAGTGTGGAAAGAAGAAAGCAAAAGTAACAGCTAACAGCTTATTAGGGATAAATATTGACAACAGTTAAAGTTTCTTTTAGTTAAGTGTAAATAAGTATTTTAAATTGTAGCTAACAACGAAATCTTTTAAATTTGAATTTTCTTTTTAATTTAATAATGTTTGAATGATCAGTTCTAAATTCATGGAAATTAGATAATTTTTTGAAATGTGTTTAAAGCCTTTAATATGGGCTTATCAGCCCAAAAATACTTAAGTTAGAAATTTATGTGCAATTAGGATATTCCTGGAAAGCTAAAAGGAATGATTTATATAGATGTATTTATTTATTTTCCAATTTTCATTATCTCATGTTTTCTAATGAAACTCAATGCCATTACTGTATGCTTGCATTTTCACAATATATACAAATACAAATTTGTTTACATTGCACTGATCTTATTCATTGACTCAATCATTGGCATGAAATGTTTGAACAATATTTAAGTTGAATCACTAGTCNAATTGTAGC